CAATGGGATAAAGTTCATCAACACCATTCATCATGGCACAACATGTGTGATTCTTTGAATTTCAAACAAGTTGGCTAAAATCAATGGTTGATGTTTCTCATAGACAGGACCATAGTATAGACATGCATGTACAAACATTAACATATGAAAATGTGTTAAGGATTTTTTCCCAGTAAGTATATATAGAATGAAATGGAAGACAAACAATCCCTTCCAAATTTATCAGATCAAAAAATTTCTTTGTTTTTCCCTTCTTCTTCACTACCACATATTCTCTCTTCTTACAAAAAAAAAAAGAAAAAGATAAATAAATTTAATATAAAATCAAAAAGATTAAATTTTTATATAAAATTAAAGGCTTAGAAACAATCTTTTCTTAGCTGAACAAATTTTGTATTCAAAATTGTTACATATTTGATTGGAAAGATTGGAAAGAGAAGAGAAAAGAGTGGGGACACCAAAGTTGGGGGGCAAAATATAGAGAAGGAAGAACAACGCCCTTCGTTCTACTATTGCCCCCTCTTTAGATCTTACTGTTTTCTCATCTGGGTATTCTTCAATCGGTTGATTCTTGATTTGGGTATTCATTTTTTTTTCCTATCAATTGTCTTTGTTAGATGTTGTTTTGGGTTGATGAAAGCATTTTGATTGTTGGGTCGATGCTGGTTTTGCTTGTTTGTTGGGTTTTACATTTTGATTCTAAATTTTGATTGATCGTTTAAGGATCCGATGCATTTTGATTGAATCTGATTATGTTTGATTGGTTTTGGTACTTTATTCATTGTAAAGGTGTGTTCTTTAGTTTTTTATTTTTCAATCTGCATTTTATTTCATTAAGTGGGAATTGAAAGTGAATCTAGATGGGTGTGTTCTTGTTGGAAAGTTAGGTGGACTTGTTGATGTATCTTTGATTTCATCAAGTTATGTTATTTTATGTTGTGCACATGAGAAATGGTAGTTTTTTGAGCTTTAAATTTGATATTATAGGATGATGATTGAGTACCTTGGAGATGAGGTTTTGAGGATTTTGATTTGTTGTTTGTAGGAAAATGCAATCTGATCTTGGGAAGTTATTCATTGGTGGAATTTCATGGGACACAAATGAAGAGCGTCTGAAGGAGTATTTTAGTACTTATGGGGAGGTTTTAGAGGCTGTAATTATGAAGGATAGGACTACTGGACGTGCCCGTGGTTTTGGTTTTATTGTCTTTGCTGATCCTGCTGTTGCTGATAGGGTAATCAAGGAGAAACACAACATTGATGGCAGGATGGTAAGCTGTTCTAGTTGGCAAATTTTGTTTTACAATTGGTTCCTTTTGATTTGTTGAACAAGGAGCATATAAGGTTGTCGTTTGAACTTCTGATGAGATTATACTTTTGGATGACACATAAAATCAATGGGAAATGTGGCACTGTAACGGAGAGTTAGCTTTATATATCTAAGTTTTCTTGGTACTAATTGTGTTTTACCGTGCACTAAACTGGCACATTGTTCCCATTCTTATGGCATATCACATCTGGAAGAGTGGTTATAATTAACTCTCAAATCTCTTCTTTTTACTCATCATGGTCTACTTATATTTCAGGTTGAAGCAAAGAAGGCTGTTCCTAGGGATGACCAGAGCACAATAAGTAGAAGCAGTCCTAGCATTCAGGGTTCTCCTGGTCCAGGACGTACAAGAAAAATTTTTGTTGGAGGTTTAGCATCCACAGTAACTGAGACTGACTTTAAGGAGTACTTTGAGCAATTCGGAACAATCACAGATGTAGTAGTTATGTATGACCATAACACTCAGAGACCAAGAGGCTTTGGGTTCATAACTTATGATTCAGAGGATGCAGTGGATAAAGTATTGCTTAAGCCCTTCCATGAACTGAATGGTAAAATGGTCGAGGTCAAACGTGCAGTCCCCAAAGAGTTATCACCAGGTCCAAGACTTGGTGGGTTCAACCATCCATTAAGTAGGATCAATAACTTCCTTAATGGATACACACAAGGATACTCTCCGAATACAGTTGCAGGATATGGAGTCAGGATGGATGGTAGATTTAGCCCCATTGCTGGAGGTAGGAGTGGTTTTGCTCCATTTGGTTCTGGTTATGGAATGGGGCTTAACTTTGAACCAGGGTTAAGCCCAGGATATGGGGGAAGTGCAAACTTTAACAGCAGCTTGAGCTATGGACGGGGACTGAACCCATATTATGTTAATAGTTCAAACAGAGTTGGTGGTCCTATTGGGTTTGATGGAGTAAATGGAGGAAATAGTTCATTCTTCAGCTCAGCAACTCGGAATTTGTGGGGAAATGGGGGTTTGGGTTATGGAACGAACTCCACAAGCTCTAGCACCTTTGCAGTAGCTGGAAATGGGAACACCGGGGCAGGAAACTTTAGCAACACTGGAGTTTGGGGTTCATCTTCAATTTCCCCTCAAGGTAGAGGAAATGTTTCTAACCAAAGTGGAAATCTTGGTTATGGGGGTGATGATAGTTTATATGGGTTGACTGGAGGCTATGGAAGAAATGTTACATCAAGTGGGGCTCCTACCTCATCATATCCTGCATCTAATGGTAGCTATGATGGGGCTTTTGCTGATTTTTACAATGGTGGTTTGGGATATAGTGATTCCACTTGGCGCTCTGCAAATTCTGAGCGAGATGGATCTGGTTCAATTGGTTATGCACTCGGCAATGCACCCTCAGACATGCCACCTAAAAATTCTGCTAGTTATGTTGGCAGTTATGGTGTTGGTAAAAGACAGTCAAACAGCGGTAAGCTTCTCACTATCCCTTTAAAGCCAGAGGTTGCTTCACCTTGCTAAATTTTCCTTTAATTTTCTGATGAACTTGGATTAATGTTGTTGGTACCATGATTTGTCATCAGAAGCAGGTGATTAACACACTTCTTTTGACTTACGACCTTTATACATCTAGGTTTTTCTTGTCGAAATTAAGTGCAAGAATCCTTATAGGGATTCACTCTGTAGAGAAGCATCTCTCATACTTGCATGTATGATGTGATGTCTAAACTATTTTAACTTGGCATCAAGTTCTTTTTCTAGAGCATGCTTGTGCTTCAGATTTTTGTTTACTCACTTTGAAAACTGCATTATGATTAAGAAGCTGTGTAGCTCGGACTCTTCAAAAATGCCAACAAATGCATGTCGGATCGTCCAAAAGTAGTGCTTTTTTGGAGGATCTGACATGGGTGCAGCAACATAGTTGGAGAGTCTGAGTAACATAGAATAGAAGCACAACATTATGAGTCAATGTACATAATTCCATTTATTTGAAAAGAAAGAGTCTCATGTCATTTTCAAATTATGGTGGATTAAAACAAGAAGGATCTCTGGATATTAGTTGAACCATTGATAAAAGGAAGCTTAAAAGGAGCTACAAGTTGGCCATTTGTGATTTATTTTAGGTTAGTTCAGTTGCGTAATGTAAAATTTTAGCTTTTATTACTAAAACTGTTTGCTTAATCGATGAAAGTGACATAGTGATATAAAGCAAGTGATGCAACTTCAAAGATCATACTCTTTAAACTTTAGGTGCAAAGCGATCTAAGTGAGAGACAAATGTTTCTGTACCATTTCCAAAAAAAATAAAGAAAAAAGAAGCAAATGTTTCTCTCAGCGCAACTTTAAAAGACGACAGGAAGAGAAAAGTAAAGCAATAAATATGCCTCTTGCTTACCTGAGTACTAGGATACCTCTCTAGGTACACTTTAGTGTTCTCTTGATTGTCTTCTTCTACTGTTTAGGTACACTTGTCTTCTTCTTCCCTCCAATTTATGATTAATAGGCTTATTGTAGGATTAAAAAAACTGACTCTTGCAATCAAAGGTAAACCTTTTCATTTTTATGTTCTCCAATTTATGATTTATAAGCTTATTGTTAGCTAAGTTGCTCGGACTCTTCACTTTTGGTGCCACACCCGTGTCGACACGACATGGGTGTGGGTGTGGGATCCGTGTCCGATTTGGTCAACGGATTTTGGGTACTTTGACCAAAATCGATGGGGAAAGTCTGGACAATTTTAATGATTCCTATAATCAATACAAAAGCTACGGTGAAATTAAAGGAAATGGAATACCTTTTATATATAAATTTCTATGTCACTCCTTTTTCCTTTAATCTCTTTCTAGGATTCTCCTCAATTTCTCCACATAATATCTCATAATCTAGGTTTTATAACTCTATTTTTAGATATTTTAATTATTTTTAGGCGAATCCCCGCACCTGTATCCATACATGGATCCATATCCCCGAATCTGAAAAATTAGATCATGAAGGATCCGACCTCTAGACCCGCACCCGTATTGGACACCCGCACCCGAGCAACTTAGATTGTTAGGATAAGAAAAAGTAACACTTGCAATGAAAGCTAATGCTAAATATTCAGCAAAGCAATTTAATATGAAAGTGAATTTTGCAAAGTAAATCTTTTATGATTGATTAATTGAAAACTGAAATTCAATGCATTGATTGAAGATTGAACTTATCAATTGTTTGATAGAAGTAATTTTGTGGTGGTATGTAAATTTGAGTTGGCTTGTTGGAATTAACATTTGTTCCATGTTGTATATTGGATGTTATGATTATTATAATTATAATTCGATGTTATAAACATAATATTTCTATGTTAGTGTACAGGAGCAGATCCCTTTTTCTGCTGTAAATTTTTTGCCTTGCATCTTCTTGATGCCTTCTAATGAAATTTCCTTACTTCATCAAAAAAAAATATTTCTATGTTAGTTACCCATCTGTTTCAATTTGTTTGTCTTACTTTCCGTTTTAGACTGTTACAAAAAGAATGCGTCTTTCCTTTTCTGGCAACTCTTTAATTTTAACTTTCCACATGACATGTTTAAGACCACAAGATTAAAAGACATTTTGGTACATTCTACATATCTTTAATTTAAAACCACAAGATTCAAAGGTCCTCTTTACCTTTTTAAACTCCGTGCCAAGTCGAAACCAAACAAACAAATTGAAAAGGAGGGAGTAATATTTTTTCCGTATATATGCACCTTACTTTGATGAAGCATGTACGTTGCTTCTTATTCCTTACTCTTGTTAAAAGTCCAATAAGTCTTGGTGGTTTTTTTTTTTGCTTTTTTACTTTCAGCTGATTCTAGCTGTTTCTGATCTTTCTTCATCCAGATTTGGTAATGACTTACTAATGTTTGGTGTTAATTCTTCATAAATATTGGGTTTCCATGATTAACATTGTTTATTTGATAATTGAACTTTTTTCATTCTCTACGGGAATTAAGGCCTGATGATGTACTCTGTCGTTATTGTTAGACTTCTATGTTCCGTTGTGCATCAAAGACACTGACCAGAAAATACAAGTGAATAGTGTAGTCTAAGTTATCGCTATACTATTGCATCCAAGGGTGTGGCCTAGTGACATATGAAGTTGATTGAGAATCTTGAGGTCCCAGGTTCTAATTCCACCGGAGGCAAAAACTATAAGTGATTTCTTTCCATATGTTCAAGCTTTTGTGGACAGAGTGACTCGGTACTTGTGCTGGTGGGAGGTAGCAGGTATCCTGTGAAATTAGTTGAGGTGCACGCAAGCTGAACCATATACCACGATTATACAAAAAGAAAAGTAATCGCTGTACTACTTGGTTCTGTTCCTGGCAGGCACTCATTGGTCTAGAGTGATGCTTATGGTCATAACATTCATCTCAGGTGGAGTAATTTTTCCGGTGAATTGTGTTCAGATAGATGCATTACCAATCGAAATTTCCATTAAACAACTGATTGGTACTTGTTTGTAGGATCAGAGACCAAAATCATCAACAATTTTATGGAGTAAGCAGATGGTAGGATATCATCTCGAAATCTTGAACTTAAGATAAAATATGATCTTCCAGATCTTAAAGGATACAAGGGAAAATTAAGAGATGGAATTTGAGAACTTCCTTTTTTTGAATAGATCATTACTATACCAGATCCTTTTCATGCCTCATTATCTTTTTATAATTTATATTTGATACAACAACAATAACATACCTAGTGTAATTCCAAAAGTGGGGTCTTGGGATGGTAGGATGTATGCAAACCTTACCTCTAGCTTTGTGGGATAGAGAGACTGTTTCCGATAGATTCTCGGCTCAAAATAAATGTAACTGATGCATGAAAGTAAGAGAAAGAAAGAGACATCAAAACAACAAATGTACAAAACAAGTGCAATAATAGATATTAATACACATGGGAAAGGGAACTACGTGATGCCTAAATCATACTACTAGAAGTACGACAACACTCGACTACCTACTATCTACCTAATTCTCAGCCTCCATACGTTCTAGCTAAGGTCATGTCCTCAGTCAGCTGAAGTTGTTCCATGTCCCCGTCCTAATTACCTCCCCCAGTTTTTTTTCGGCCTACCTCTACCTCTCCTAACTCCAGCTACAAACAACCTCTCACACCTCCTCATTGGCGCATCCTCACACTTCTTCTTCATATGTCAGAACCATCTTAGCCTAGCTAACTTTATCTTGTCCACTATGGTGGCCACTTCCACCTTGTCCCGTATAACTTCGTTCTTAATCATATCTCTCCTAGTATGCCCATACATCCATTTGAGCATCCTCATAATCTAAACATGAACATTTTTTATTAGCAAGCACTCTGCAGTCTGCCCCATACAATAGTGTGGGTCTAACCATCACTTTTTAGAACTTATCTTTAAATCTTAGCGACACATACTTATTGTACAGTACATTAATATCCCAGAGGGAAGCCTCCATTTCACCCAACCTGCACCAGTACAGTGTGTGACATCATTGTCATTGCCCCATCTCCTTCAATTATGGACCCAAGATACTTGAAGCTTTCTTTGTAAGGTATGGCTAGTGCATCGATCTTCACTTCCACCTCCACCTCATGTGTCACGGTGCTGGACTTGCACTCTAGGTACTCTGTGTAGTCCTGCTAAACTGAAATCTTTAAACTTTATGGCCTCTTTCCGAACTTCCTGCCTATCATTAATTCCATCATGCATTTTGTCAATCAATACTATGTCATATGCGAATAACATACACCATGACACCTCCCCTTGAATATGTCGTGTCAATTCGTCCATCGCTAATACAAAAAGGAACGGCTAAGGGTTGATTCCTGATGCAACCCAATCATGACTGGAAAGTGGTCCGAGTCTTTTCCCACTATCCTAACCCGGGTTGAGGCTCCATTGTGCATGTCTTTAATAACCCTAATGTAAGCCATAGATACACCTCTAAATAATTTACATTTGATACAATAGGCTTTTTCTATGTGGTGTCTCTCTTTCATACAATCCCTTTGATAGACTTGGACGACTTTGGAGTACTCTTTAGCTTTGTTAGAATTTTGAATTTCCTTTGAGGACAATTATCCCTTTCTTATTAAGTTAAATATTTTATTGATGTTGGGATAAGAAACTCCTGTATACAAGTAGTATACCAAAAAGTAAAGAGCCTTTACCAAAATATGGTTCTCTACAAAAGTCATCCAATCATCCATACAAGTAGAAACCTCATGGGTGACCGAAAAAGAAACTAAAAACACAGGGCTATTCCTCAGGCATGTCATTCTCGACTCCTTCAAATACTTTCCTATTTCTCACTTTCCAAATCACCTACATAGGGGCAAGAGGGATTACATCTTGTGCCCTTGGTCTTCTCTTCTTTTTCTTGAAATCCTAACTGCACACTGCTCTCTTTACTGTATCTGGCATCACCCCATAGTGCTCTGAACCTATTCAAGACCGTCCACGCGTTGTTACGTGACAATGCAAGAGGAGGTGATTTATAATTTCTCCTGATTATCTGCACATAAAACAGCATCAAACATCTGTAATCCTCCTCTTCCTCAGGTTATCATCAGGATGGCTCCCTAGCTGGTTGCCACTTAGAAAGCACACTTTTTAGGTTCCTGTGGTATCCATATCGAAAAATGCGGAAAAGCCACCTCCTCCCTCACCAACAGTTTCTGGTAACAAGCTTTATCTGAGATTCTGAGGTGTGCCCCACCTCCAAAGTGTGCGATACTCTCTGCTTGCAAAGTAGTTCCACTAGACTTTGGATTCCCACATCTTTCAATCCTGTAAGTTCCTCATATATCTCAGATGCCATAGAACTACCTGTTCTTGTACCTTGTGTAAGGTTTGTAGCATTTATACATCATGGTGGAATGAATAAATTTGGGAATCTTGTCTGGAAGTTTTTTTGGAAGTTCTGCTGCCTCAGATTCTTTGCAGTTCTTCCCATTATGGTTCTTGGACATGGAATAATTTATCTTTTGGAAATGAAATTTGTTTTTTCCGAATGTACGTGCAAGTACTATAGGCTGTGATATTTTCCATGTCAAAATAATAAAAGAATACTTTAAGAATATTAATCAAAGATTACTTTCTTAATTCCACAGTAAGCGAAAATGGCTACCATATTTTACGGAGGGAGCAGTGTGCTTATGCATTTAAAGTTTAAGCCCATGGATTCTATCCCAAAGCTGTCACTGTCTTTAAGTAGCTTGGGTTGAATTGCTCCTTTTATTCCGTCGGAAAAATCTTTGAGATACTGCATTGTCTTTTAAGCAAGTTATGACCTTTATATGGGTGAAGGTTGCGGGAGGTGCTTCTTTAAAGTCTTTTCTGAGTCCCACTGGGCCAAAGCCAGTAGTACTTTTATGTTTTGGTAGATTGAGCTCAATCACCGATCAATCACTCACCTTTTCAAGTTATGGCCTGCACAGAATTTTAGAATTGGTTCTTATTTATAATATCTTTGTTTTGCTTTTCCTTTTAATGAAAATCTGTTGCTTAATTTCAAATGCCCATGTACTTAATCTAGGGGTGGGCATAAAAACCGGACCTAACCGAATCAATTCGGTTCGGATTTGGTAAATTTTATTAATACTTCGGTATTTCAGTTTGGTCCTTGGTATTAGGGGTCCCAGTACTTCGGCTGTACCGAAGTTTAATAACATTCATTCAAATTTCATACTTCACTTAAAATTCAATCCAATATGCATTCAGAATTTTTTTCCCAGTAGGCCCAAATCCCATTCCTGTAAAATGTAAATTCAACCCCAAGTCCCAAGGCCTTAACCCATTCCCAAATCTGAATGCTACTGCTCGTTTTATGTTGTTGCTGTGTGCTGTTCATTTTATGAGGCTTGAGTGCTTGTTGCTGACTGTCCAGTGCTACTGCAGACTGCTTATTGCCGGTCATTTGTGTTGATTGTTGCATTGTTGCTGGCTGCTGCAAAGTGCAAGTCTACTATTGTCATTAATGCATGAGCCTTTCTTTGGTCTTTAGGCAGTGACTGCTGGCCTGCTGCTCGTTGCTTTCTTGGCAGTGGGTACTGGACAGTGGCTGTGCTCAAACTTCAAAGAATCATTGCTGAAATTTTCAATTTTGAAAACAATTGCTATTAAATATTTTATTATACTTTAGTTGTTCCATTCAAAAAGTACCGAAGAACTGAATTAAAAAGATCGAACTTTAAAGAAAAAGAATTGAACCGGATTAGTTTGATACAATATTCTGTACACACTATTGACAAACCAAAAAATCGAAGAAAACGAATGCCCACCCCTAACATATTCTATGTCAAAGACCACTACTATTGATTTAACTTGTGATCCGTTCCCTCTGTATTCACTTTCTAATTATGATCTTTTGATGTCAATATAGTGTGCATGGTTTTTATTTCCTTCCCTATTATTTACATAATCTTCTGAGCCTACTATATTGACATAATCTTCTGAGCCTACTATATTGACATAATCTTCTGAGCCTACTATATTGACATAATCTTCTGAGCCTACTATATTGACATAATCTTCTGAGCCTACTATATTGACATAATCTTCTGAGCCTACTATATTGACATAATCTTCTGAGCCTACTATATTGACATAATCTTCTGAGCCTACTATATTGACATAATCTTCTGAGCCTACTATATTGACATAATCTTCTGAGCCTACTATATTGACATAATCTTCTGAGCCTACTATATTGACATAATCTTCTGAGCCTACTATATTGACATAATCTTCTGAGCCTACTATATTGACATAATCTTCTGAGCCTACTATATTGACATAATCTTCTGAGCCTACTATATTGACATAATCTTCTGAGCCTACTATATTGACATAATCTTCTGAGCCTACTATATTGACATAATCTTCTGAGCCTACTATATTGACATAATCTTCTGAGCCTACTATATTGACATAATCTTCTGAGCCTACTATATTGACATAATCTTCTGAGCCTACTATATTGACATAATCTTCTGAGCCTACTATATTGACAAGCAAAGCCACCTTAGTTGGGGTTTAGTTTCTTGATCATCTCTGTACTCAATTCTGTTCGTACTTTGAGAGATAGTGAGGAACTTATCACATGACTTGACTGAGAATCATTTTCTGATGATTGTTAAAGGCATTTTATTGAGCATCTAGCAACAAGAAAGTGCTGTAGAAGTCTTTACAGAAAGACACTTTAACAGCAACAACAAGGATAGGATGTATGCAGGGGTAGAGAGGTTGTTTCACATAGACCCTCAGCTCAAGAAAAAAGTTTTACAAAACAGGTTTGAGGAAAAAAAGCCTGAGATGAAAATATCTAAGAAAAGAAAAGCACTTGAATAAGAGAATTCCATCCTTTTGCTCATACCATACCAGTGAATCTGGTTGCACAGGGAGAATCTACACGTCATCCATCTTCTTCGGCAGCACAGCGATGCTGTCTACTTCCCAGTCTAAACAGTCCTTAAACAGATTCCCAGTCATTGGCAATAAAGCAATGAGCTATAGTTATCTCTATGTATGCTCCAAACATGAATAAATCAGGGAATTGCTCTTTAAGAGGACATCCTGCCAAAAGAATATTCATTTTCCTTTCCTACTTTGAAGCAAGTCTTTTCAGAGAATTCATCCTCATAGATTTCTTATAAATTTCCATATTCCAACCTCATTAGAGCCATTACCTGTCGATTAAGTACCAAGACTCTGGAGCTTAGCTTGCTTGAATTACTTCCCGAAGAATCTCTTCTTCTCATGTATCTCCAAAATGATTGAATTACATGTTTCTTGTGAAACCTCAAAATTTTGACCCCAAGTTCTCCTTGTGTGATATATTCAGTCTGATTAACAAGATCTGTTCTCCTTGTTGCCTTCCCAAAGGAAGTTTCTCTTAATCTGTCTTGCCCCTTTCCCAACTGTTGCTGGGATGGAAACTAGGACATCATGCATGTGGGCAGGGATTCTAGAGCACCATTAGTAAGTGTTTGCCACCTAAGGATAGGTATTGCCTTTTCCTGTTTGAAAGATTTTCTCCACTTCCTCAATGACTTTCTATACCTTTGTTAATTAATGCGTTGCACCCAAAGGCATTACTGGAGAAGTAGTGGGGAGACACCATAAGCTGAAGCCCAATATGTCTGCCATCTGCTGGTTGGTAGTCTCAAATATGACCTTTTGAGCCGAATGGAACAAAAATCGATAGAGTGCATTGCCTGTGGCTACTCTATCACATCATGTCCCTGGAAAAAGACCATTAAAGTTTGTTTATACTTCTCTAATGACGTGGGACAGAGCTATTTAAAATTGGAATGTAGTATGGCTGATAATTTGTCCTAGGCTGGGTACAGATACTATTTTCTGTGGCTCCATTACTGCTCTTTATTTGTTGCTCACTCATCTGACTAGAAAAACTAATACATATGTCATGTTTTCTTTTCTCGAACTATATTGCATGTTCTGGAGAAAGAGAATAAAGATACTTCCCATGAATAATAATGCTTCACGGAACATGGCTGCGAGTTCATTGAAGATTCTGTATTTGCTAACCATCACCATTCCTTAAAGATCTAGGGAAGTGTTGATACACATCAGTTTAGAAGGAGCAAAATAAATTCAAAGATTTGACTTGAATATTGTTATCTATGTTGATAGCTACTGGAGCAAATAGAAGTTCTTTTTTCTTATCACTGTTTGTTTTTCTGACCTAAAAGATTTTGGTAATTCCTTGTATCCTACTTGTTGTTTGCATATTTGTTTCTCCCTCTCTTTTCTTTCCTTTTGCTATTTGTTGCATATGATGTCCAATCATGGCTCATCTTAATCTACTGATTTTGTATTTATGCAGGGATTGGTGGCTAGGAGAATATTGGCAAGCAAGCGTGTTACATTAGGTGAAACTTTGGTGTAGAATTTGAATCATGAATTTTGCATACTTCTATAGCTATATGAAGTTGAGAGGTTAAAGAATTGGATATCCTTTTGTAGGGCTAACTGGAGTTGCTTGTTTTGAAGGTCTAGAGATAGAAGTTTACAAGATTTTGTGCTAAAGGGTTTTTTGTTTTGAGTTTATGTCTTTAGGAATTCCCCCTTTTTTGTTTTCCTTGAGTGAGGTGTAAAATCAGATTGCGGCATATAGTCAGAAATGTATCGTGCATCTCTGGTG